CTGAAGAGCCCAGTCTGTTCAGAAATACATAAATGCATTTAAACGAGAAGAGGTCGCAAACTGCTGTAACTACGCATGCAAAACAACAGTCCTGTGTGGAATGGGGAAAGAGATACCTCAAACACAAGTTTTAACATGCCTTGGAGTAAAGCCCTCTGGGATACAACTTTTCGTTTCATACAACAAGGCAGCTATTAACGGTAGATAACATACGCTAATGCTCTGCATGGCGGTTTAATTACCTGTGTAATAGCGTTGTCTTCCCAGTCATGTTTTCCAAAAAACCAGCGGATTCTTATTCCTGCATTAAGCGCGCATAATAGAAGAGATGCGATCAGCGAGGAAGTGGGTGGTCTTTACCACGAGTGTGGACACGCAACTGGAACTTTTTGAAGCTCGTGCTTATTCAAGAGAGACAGTAGTTGCATAACAAATGTAACTGCATTCTTCCTGTATTCATTTCGAAATGTTTATCAGATACTATGAGATTGAAGTTTTTCTCGCTTAAGGTGTTATATATGACTTGGCATCGGTTTCAAAGCTGCGAAGCGAAAAGGGAATGACTAACTAAATGAGCGCGGGCTGTTAAAGTTAGTTAAGCAGGAGCGCAAATAGAAAGACCTCAATCACGAGATCCCGTCTTTACAAACAATGTTTAGTTATGAAAATGTTGATTACTGCATACCAATCATCAAACATAGCTGCAAATAGCAGTCATTGGGTTTATTTGCATATAAGCACACGATCACTCGCATTTACAATAAAACTATAACTTGTAATATAAGTAACACCAGTTCGAGCAACTTAGATGCGTACTTGTATGTACGGTTAATTGTTTGCCACTGTTATAGCGCCTCTTTCTGTCAAAAACCGAATAAAACATTGCATGCTTCCGACAGTCCACCAAGTTTACTGACAATTTAATGTTGTTAATCTGATCGAATATCTTATGAAATCGCATTGGCTGATGGCTGCCATTATTTTTAAATATGTAGTTGTCCTCATAATAGGGCCTCATATATCAGTTTATATCAAACACATGGCATAAAAGTATTTACAGTACGTCGATCATGCCAACAGTTCCATATTTACATTTTTATTTACGGATCCCATTCAATTGCTATAACTCAAATAGATTTTCACTCAAAAGTAATGCATAAAAAAAATCTATCAACTTTTCATAGCCAACATCTTAACAAGAATGTCATTGTGTATTGGGGATCTCTTCACGTTTCCATCGCCTCTAAGTCTTTGGTGGAAGAGGCTATGAAGGACACAGCTGAGGGTTCAGTCTCCAGGAGAGAGAGATCCAACTCAGGCAGTGGAACCCGCCAGAACTGGAAAGAATTGAACAGAGAGAGGTCCTCATCTGTGTGCATTACCTAGTGGGATACAAACAGAGCTGAATTTTAAAGTTCAGAAGTTTACTACAGCAACAACCTGCACCAACAAGAGTGAAGTTTAATAGAATATCCTAATTATACCTAAAGTACTTTTAAGTTTAAGTCTTTAAGTTAAACATAAATTTAGACAAAAAAAAATTTGTCGGGTCAGATAGATAGAACAGCAGATGATAAAACAATAGATAGATAGATAAACATAAAACAATGAATGTGCATATTAACATTCAACCTAAGTAAACATAACCTATATAAACCCACGCATAGCTAACAGTCTGACTATACATATAATCAGTGTTGGGGGTAATATATTACAAGTAATATTTTTTTCAATTTATTGATTGTCAGTTCTCCTGTCCCGGTGTTGAGAGAAATCAGAAGATGTTACTGTAGTTAAAAATAAATATGAATATGCAATAATTCATCTCACTCACACACAAAAAAAACACAGATTCAGTATTCCTCAAAATGAATAAAAATAATGCAACTCAGAATATGACGCAAACCTGCAATAATTAAATGTTAAACAGTACAAATATCCTTTATGTATTTAATCCCATTCTATTAACCAATGTCTTTGCGTCTGACCTTCGATGATCCAGTTCAACCATAATAATAAGCAAAAATGACTCTAGACAAACATTTGTGTGTCTTATTTTATTGCTGAAGTGTGTTGAAATTTCTTCTGCATTCTACTGTACGGACGTAATTTTACTTTCCCTTCAGCCTGAGGCTTATTCATTTCACTTTTGGTGTGAAAAAGCTTTTATATTTGCCAAAAATAGAACTTTTTTATTTTAAAATCAAACAAGCAAGCTCTGTACAGATTTAAAAAGTAACGCAAAAGTAACGTAACGCATTACTTTCCACAAAAAGTAACTAAGTACCGTAATTAGTTACTTTTTTTAATGGAGTAACGCAATATTGTAATGCATTACTTTTAAAAGTAACTTTCCCCAACACTGCATATAATTTAGATAGATAAACAGAAGGGTCTGTCTACCATCACAGCACCATTCCATATGCCTACTGAAATATATGTCGACTGATATCATAGTGGTCATGCACCGCCACCACATGTTCATCTGCCATCATTGCACATTATTCTACCTGACGCCACACAGTAACACGAGTTTGCGCTCAGGTGCTTGTACTAGTTTGTGTGAAACTTTACCTTGTCTCCTGCAGTAATGTTATTTCCTTCGTCTGTCTGTTTTTTTGCCTCAGTCTGAAGCGCGCGAGATGACCGTCGCGTGACAGCTCTACCAGCATCATCCTCGAATGTTCTAGACTTGCATGCGTTCCTGTCTGCCAGCACTGAATTAACCCTGTTTGCAGCCACTTTTCTCGGTAGGCTATCTGTATCCAGTGAATCTTCGAGATAGCTCGGTCTTTTCCTGCAGCGTTGTCCGGCCACTGACAATAACGCGGGTGGATTTGCGTTTTGGATCACGTTCACACCTCCGACAGGTTTGTCGTTGTCGGAGAGAGAACGAAAACATCTTTTATGGAGGACTTCGGGAGGCAAAATGTCCTCTGCTCTCCGTTTGGTCATGTGTGCGACCAGATGTATTCAAAACTTAGCTTCTATAGAAGAGCGGCAAGACTTTTTTTTTTAGTACGTAAAGGTTCAATTTCTCAGCTGTTTACGACAGTTGTGTTGTATCTGAAGTTGAAACGCGTGTTTGAATACAGCGCCCTCTGTGGCCAGAAAGGTCGAACAACAACAACGTTTGTTAAAGTGTCATAATTTATTCACTACCTTCCAAACAATTATTGTGGAATTTGTGGGCTGAATAATAAACAGACGCAAATGCTTAGAACAAACAGTCATGTTTATGAAAAAATATTCCCATTTTTCTTGATTGTAAGTTTTATTACCGTATATGTACAAGATCATGAAAAATCTGTTAAGTTTAAAACAACTTTATTTTAGTGCTGCCAACTAGTACAATTTTGATGATCAGCATATTTCCTAGGAGAGCCTGGAATAATTGTGCAAGATCCAGAGCAGGCTCATATTCAGACTGTGAATATGATTTTGGACATAGAAACTCTGATAATGTAAATAATTGCAAGAAAACACTGAAATGTATGTGTGAAGCAGCACCTAAAACCTGAGGAATACAAAGCAAAGCACCAAAACATAACATTTTTGGTAAATATAAAGATAATTCAGCACATAATAAAGCTCCAGTCTTGCTGTATTACCAGGAATATGCTATAATGTTGGCATTCATGATTAAAAGCATCAGTTTATTATTGGGGGCTTATTCATTTCACTTTTGGTGTGAAAAAGCTTTTATATTTGCCAAAAATAGAACTTTTTTATTTTAAAATCAAACAAGCAAGCCCTGTACAGATTTAAAAAGTAACGCAAAAGTAACGTAACGCATTACTTTCCACAAAAAGTAACTAAGTACCGTAATTAGTTACTTTTTTTAATGGAGTAACGCAATATTGTAATGCATTACTTTTAAAAGTAACTTTCCCCAACACTGCATATAATTTAGATAGATAAACAGAAGGGTCTGTCTACCATCACAGCACCATTCCATATGCCTACTGAAATATATGTCGACTGATATCATAGTGGTCATGCACCGCCACCACATGTTCATCTGCCATCATTGCACATTATTCTACCTGACGCCACACAGTAACACGAGTTTGCGCTCAGGTGCTTGTACTAGTTTGTGTGAAACTTTACCTTGTCTCCTGCAGTAATGTTATTTCCTTCGTCTGTCTGTTTTTTTGCCTCAGTCTGAAGCGCGCGAGATGACCGTCGCGTGACAGCTCTACCAGCATCATCCTCGAATGTTCTAGACTTGCATGCGTTCCTGTCTGCCAGCACTGAATTAACCCTGTTTGCAGCCACTTTTCTCGGTAGGCTATCTGTATCCAGTGAATCTTCGAGATAGCTCGGTCTTTTCCTGCAGCGTTGTCCGGCCACTGACAATAACGCGGGTGGATTTGCGTTTTGGATCACGTTCACACCTCCGACAGGTTTGTCGTTGTCGGAGAGAGAACGAAAACATCTTTTATGGAGGACTTCGGGAGGCAAAATGTCCTCTGCTCTCCGTTTGGTCATGTGTGCGACCAGATGTATTCAAAACTTAGCTTCTATAGAAGAGCGGCAAGACTTTTTTTTTTAGTACGTAGAGGTTCAATTTCTCAGCTGTTCACGACAGTTGTGTTGTATCTGAAGTTGAAACGCGTGTTTGAATACAGCGCCCTCTATGGCCAGAAAGGTCGAACAACAACAACGTTTGTTAAAGTGTCATAATTTATTCACTACCTTCCAAACAATTATTGTGGAATTTGTGGGCTGAATAATAAACAGACGCAAATGCTTAGAACAAACAGTCATGTTTATGAAAAAATATTCCCATTTTTCTTGATTGTAAGTTTTATTACCGTATATGTACAAAAGGTTCAATTTCTCAGCTGTTTACGACAGTTGTGTTGTATCTGAAGTTGAAACGCGTGTTTGAATACAGCGCCCTCTGTGGCCAGAAAGGTCGAACAACAACAACGTTTGTTAAAGTGTCATAATTTATTCACTACCTTCCAAACAATTATTGTGGAATTTGTGGGCTGAATAATAAACAGACGCAAATGCTTAGAACAAACAGTCATGTTTATGAAAAAATATTCCCATTTTTCTTGATTGTAAGTTTTATTACCGTATATGTACAAGATCATGAAAAATCTGTTAAGTTTAAAACAACTTTATTTTAGTGCTGCCAACTAGTACAATTTTGATGATCAGCATATTTCCTAGGAGAGCCTGGAATAATTGTGCAAGATCCAGAGCAGGCTCATATTCAGACTGTGAATATGATTTTGGACATAGAAACTCTGATAATGTAAATAATTGCAAGAAAACACTGAAATGTATGTGTGAAGCAGCACCTAAAACCTGAGGAATACAAAGCAAAGCACCAAAACATAACATTTTTGGTAAATATAAAGATAATTCAGCACATAATAAAGCTCCAGTCTTGCTGTATTACCAGGAATATGCTATAATGTTGGCATTCATGATTAAAAGCATCAGTTTATTATTGGGCCATATGTCTGTGAATTTGTCCAGAGCTTCTCCCTTTTAAACATCATGTTGAGCTTCTTTTCTGTAAAGAATCCTCAGTCTGGCCATCTTTAGGTGTCTGATCTCCGTTGATCAACTGTTCTGCAGGTTTCCGTATGATAAAAAAGATACAGTCATAAAGGTACTTGAGCATGGAGCGGTCGTTCTCTGTGTACGTGCTGGGAACAGACTCTCTCTCAAACTGTGGAAAGAAATACAGTAATACAGTTTATAACAACATCATTTACTCTGTTAAATAAAAAAATAGCTCGGAGGAGAAATGAGTTTAGATATACAGTTTAACTATTTACCTCCAGGACAAATCCATATTTTAAAATGACAGCCTTTATTTCCTCATAGCTCAGCTCAATGGAAAATTCATTGGCCATATTCTCATAGTGATAAAGAAGTGGACCTTTGAGAACAAATACAAAAAGCTTTCAACCACACCTGTGTTTTCAGCCTTTCATTTACAGATACAATTTGACTGAAAATGATTCTTCAGAATCTGTGACTTACCCAAATTTATCCAGACACCACCAGGTTTTAGAATATTCCAGATGGTTTCAATGTAATCAAGAACATTGTGGGCGGTGTCAATGAAGAAACAAGTAGCAACACAATCCCACATTTCTGTAAGGAGGATACAACTTTAAATGTTAAAATTTCAGATGCGTTATTGTCTCCAAGTGCAAATTATAATAATGTACTTGTTTATTAAAATAATCATAAAAACTCACCAGGGTCACTGTATACTTCCTGGAAGTCTCCAGCGACCATAGAGAAGTCTGAGTCTGCTGGGAGACTCTGTGGATTGACATCAGGAAAGGACACAGGTCTTGTCTGATCTGAGGACATTTTGTTATTACTGAACTGGTGAATCCAGGGATACAGTGTCAGTGCATTTTCCTTATCACACCTGAGAGACAAAATATCAGTTAGCTTCCTCCTCTTTAATACAGATGTCATATACCATTCTGATTGCTTCGAATTTGTAGTCAGTACTGTGATATGCACAATCCTAGAAGTTCAACCAGAAATAAAAGTTCTAGTGTATTTTACCATATGCCTCCAAGTTACACAATTTAACATATCACAGATACTTAATAGAGGCAGTTCCCCAAATTTAGAGAGAGAAATTTTATAAATATATCTATTGTTCTAATATTTAATCATTTTTTTGTGAACCGTTCTACTTAAATTGTGCAGATGTTAATGTGGTATACCTGTTCAGAACAAAATTAGAGGAGAAGAGCATGAAGAAACTCCACTCGTTGCCTTGGCACGAATAGCCCAAATGAGCGATTTCCCAAGCAAGCCGACCCAGACCTGCCCCTGGCACTAACACTCTGACCTGAGACACATCACTGTAGAAAGAAATATTACAAGAAGTCCAATTCACTTCTTTATCATTTATAAATCATTATAAATTGAGCCCATTTGACATAAGGCTGCATTTATTTAATAAAAAAAATACAGTAAAGACAGAAATATTATTGCAGTTTAAAAGAACTATTTTCTACTGGAATATATTTTAAATCGCAATTTATTCCTATGTTAGATTTCTTTGCTGAATTTTCAGTTGCCATTGCTTAATTACGTGATATAAATTGTGATATATTTTTCTCAAGTTTCTTTGATGAAAATTAAAAAAAAATTCTAAATCTTTTTTAACTTTAGAAATATCTTTACTGTCACTTTTGATCAATTTAATGTGTCCTTGCTGAATATTTTTTTTTAAAAATGGTAGTGCAAAGAATGGTAGTGTATCTACTGATCTATGGATTGCTCATGACGTCATGAAAAGTGAACCCACCGTGCCGTCATATTGCTATTCTCTACTATTCCCATACATTCTATTAAGCAGTATGATTTTAATGAGAAAACATTACCTACCAAGTCACTGTATCTTAACTTTATGTCTTAAGTCTCCCTGCACATTCCTACAATGCAAATAAAACAGACACACACACTCAATTATACACACTCACAGACACACACACAACACTATTATACACACAAATGAACTGATGTGGCTGTAACAATATGGCAAAACTGAGCCAAAAGACTCAAATAAGAGGTTGAAATCAGATCGATTAACCTCTGATAAAGCATTCCTGTTACATTTTGTTACATTTCTGTTGAATTTTGTATATCTTCAGGTTTGACTGTAGTAAAACTAATGCAAAAACCGACATTTCAAACAAAAAAAATCTTGACCTTTACAAAAAATTGTCTTTGAGAATGTCTAAATATATATCCAAATTCACAACTTAATCAAAATAAGTATTTATGTCGAAAAACAGCTAGAAAATGTATAAGCCTTTTATATAGAGCTACATAGCAATATAGTGGCTAAACCATGGAATTGCAGATGTTTTTATTTTTTACTCCCACCAGATGGCACTCATCTGCCTTCAAAAACTGTATTTTAAAGGCATTGTCTCTATTTAACATGAAATACTGTCATGATCGAAAAGTAATATAAAAATATTAGATTTTCTATTATTTTCAATGGGAAAATTTGATCATAATTATTGCATACATTTGAATTAGTATCAGGAAACTCTCTCAAAATACAAAAGAAAAAATACTGAACAAAAATATATTACATTGATTTTACTGATAATGGGGAAAAAGGTGTTCGTTCACTTTTGACCGCAAACAACACAAGTGTGACCCCCACATGAACAATGCCAGAAGGTTAAATATTAAAGCTTAAATAAAGAACAGTGGCTGTGTGGAGCAGATGGGAATTTGATGGTCCAGCAATCAAGTGTTTACCTGTAGTATTTAAATGCATTGATGACATTCCAGAAATGTTGTCTCTCTAATCGCGCATTTTCTTCTGGGGGACATTTATTCCTCTCCCGATAGTTGTAAAATACCTCTGGTTTGGAAGCTGGTACTGTTTCATCCGTGCTGTCAGCCATTGCCGTACGCTGTAACGTTAGGCGTAAGTAATCGACAATCGACAACATAAGTGAATACAGGGAAGATAATGGAACGCGCACAGACACAGTCGATTCGTGTGTTCGGCTTGACGTTGTTCGGTGTGTAGTGTCAAATACAGACACCGTGAAAAGATATTTGTAAAGTATCTGTTTTATATAAAGGAAAACTAAACAAAAACCGTTCTTTATTAAGGATGCCATATAACTCAACCTAGATTTTGTATCATTTAATAGAATTATCGTTAAATAGGCCTATATAGTGATAACGACTACAATTCTGTCAGAGAGTGAAATGTTTGTACATTATGTAAATTAATACTTCAGTGGTTTCTACAGCACGTGTGGAATTGTGACCTATCCCTTTAGTCAACTTTGCCATTTTGGCCACAAACATTGTGCAGACACATAGAAAGTGCGCATTGAATTGAAATGAAGAAAATGTCTTCTTTTCTTTTTTTTCTTCTTTTTTATCTATAGCCCATTTGAGTGTGTGATGTGTTTGATGCTATTATTTTGATTTATGATATTTTGTTTGCACAAATGTATACATGGTGTTTAACAATATATTCCCAAGCAAAACTGGATGAAAACTCTTGAATTTAAAGACGTCTGTAAAGATATTAATGCCTATCACGATGAAGTACGGGCAACTGAAAGTCTTTTGACATTAAAAAGAAAAGTTACAACAAAACAGGTATGTGTGTGTTGTTGTTGTTGTTTTCAGTTTTACATTATACAGTGTCTTTTTTTTAGTATAAAATTTACTAAGAGAAATATAGAAACACATCACGTTTTCACAGGTCTCTTTAAAACTTTCACCCCCATACACCCCTAAATTCTGTTTCAGATGTACATGCTCAGATGTATCTCTGTCAGTGGGACGATGAAACTGAACAGATATAGCCTGTAGGTATAATCATGTTGGTTTTGATGAAGAGGACTATGAGACTGCATTTAGAGGGGGGGGGAAATATATCCCACAACAGAGAGTTGGAATAATAAAACAGATCTGCTTCAACATTCTACAATTCATCACAGATGATTGTATTTTCTTTCTACACAAATACTTGGAGCATAGCAGAACTACTTTTAACAGAACAGGTATGCTATTATAAGCTTTATTAGTTTAGCTGAGATACATGTGAACATATGACACAGATTACAAAACTGTGACGCAATCAGTACTGAGAGAACTATATTAATGTATGTTCATTTTGCTAACATTACACTCATAAAAATAAAGATGCTTCAAAAGGTTCTTCAAGCGATGCCATAGAAGAACCATTTTTGGTTCCACAAAGAACCATTCAGTCAAAGGTTCTTTAAAGAACCACCTCTTTCTTACCTTTTTATAATCTGAAGAACCTTCTTTCGCCACAAAGAACCTTTTGTGAAACAAGAAAGGTTCTTCAGATGTTAAAGGTTCTTTATGGAACCATTTAGACAAAAAGGTTCTTCTATGGCATCGTGAAGCACCTTTATTTTTAAGAGTGTACAATAGATACGCAAGTCTTTGCTTTGTAATTGTAACATTAATGCACTTAAGTAGTATGCAGCAAAGTAAAATTCATTCTAAATTAATTTAGAACCGATCCGATACCAGAAATTCTGAATATCTGCCGATACCTATCTGATAAAGCGCAGTTTTTTTTTATCAGTGTAGAATTACTATACCTCATTGTGTTAACCTGATCATCACTATTTTGTGTGTTAAACACAGTCTACCACATAGACAACTTCATTGTAAAGAAAAACATCAAATGAATAAATATACAATCATAATCTATGATTAAAAATACTAGGTTTAAACTAGGTTAGTGGATAATTCAGTAGCAAAATTTACTCTAGAAAAATGCACAATAATTTTATAAAATCTAACTATTTAGTGAAAAAAAACATTATTTAGTGGGGAGCAAATAAAAGTGTAGGGCTAAATCTGGTAAAATGTTCAACATTGCTCTTTGTATTGTTGTAAAATACATTCATGAAAAACAAGTAGCCTATTATATTTATATATATACTATAAAATTAAAAGACATTTCTTTTAAATGTATAGCACAGTAATGAGGCAGCAACATATGATAGATTTCAGAACAAGAAAGGCTATTAACAATCTTTCATTGCGCAAAAGTATTATAACATGAAAGGATCCTATACAGGGGTGTGTTTCCCAAAAGCATCGTTGGCTACCTATGGTCGTTAGTTCCATTGAACTCTATTGGTAACGACGGAACTTGCGACCATAGTTGCTTTTGAGAAACGCACCCCGGGGCAGCGCAAAGCGCTTTTGCGCATCCCGTGCGCAGAATGATGCGCTTGAAGCAACATGGAGTCACAGTGCGCAGCGCTCCGCAAAGAAAAGTTCAAAGCACAAAGGGAAGATGATTTTGATGCGTAGTGTACTATATCTGTGCGATAGTTTATTGAGCCTTTTCTTTTAATAGTTTTAAATTTCAGTTACTGTGCACATGAAGAACAATTCATAGTGCTCTCTACTCCATGATCTAACAGACATCCGGTAGAAAGTAACGTTAACATTAGGGCTGAATCTTTGGGTAGACAGTGAATCGATTCGATTCACGATTCCTAGGTTTTCGATTCGATTCAAGAACGATTCGATTCACAATTAAATTCGATTTGATTCGATTAACGATTCGATTCTGCGTTCTTTAAGTGCATTCACAGGATTATTTAAATGTTTCCCCTAAATGCTTTAGTCAGGGGGCAAATTACCCCACAGCCTTTATGGTTACAGAACCATAGGTTAGAGGGGGGAAAACACATTTGTCAATTGTTAGATGCTAGTTTAATGATGCTATGGCATGACATGGCATTTGTAGAAATTTATGTAAGCCAAGATTTGAAAAAAAGAGCTTTAAACGTATTATGTGTAGGCTAACATTTTGTTACACTAGGGGCGTATTTCAGATTTTCAGAAATCAGAATTTCAGAAGTGACCAATTATTTTATGCATAGGAGCGTGTGTAAGGCTGGGGAAGGCTTAGCCTTGGCCACAGCTAGTTGGGGCAAAAATGCCACTAAATTGGACAAAAATGCCCCTGCACAAACAAATTAAATCTATTATGACTGTTGCTAACAAAATGAAAATGAATAGAAAGTGTCGACTGGTCGATTGCGGCATTAAATTAAGATCTGCTCATGTTGCACCGTATTTCAATTTAGGTGTTTTTACAGTGTTGCGCATTATAACCAATCACACATGATTCTGTTGAGCCTAGGAATGCAGTGGCCAATCAGAGGCGTTCAGATGAGTCATCGCTGAAACTCATCAGTTTTGAGTGCGCGCGCGTTCGCTGACTGAATTCCGGGCACGCAGAGGTATGTACAATGTAAGAGATTCATTTCACAGTGTAGACAGTTTTTTTTGAGAGTGCTTAAACTCGTGATAGATCAAAGTTAGTGATAATGTCACTTTCTGTATAATAATTT